TGCCGGCCTTTATTAAATCTGCAACCTGCAATTAGATTACAACTAGATCTAGATTCGAGACTTTAGTAAAGGCAGAGTCCAGGGGAAAACATCAATTAAATTCGTGTGGTGCAGATGAGTAAAGAGAGACCAAAACAATCTCTCTATTGCGACTATCATTGCACATCACTTCGCCTAATACATGTTCCGGTAGATTTAACTACCTATAAATAGATGGAAGTTTGACCCGTGTCAAAGGTTGGGGGTGGCTGACGATTCGGAGGTGGCTGCGGGTTGACGAAAGGGAAAAGCGCGGCGCCGACTGTCAAGACTGGCGTTATTTGTCCGTTTTCTACTTTAACTGTTGCTAGGTTTTACCCAAGTACCCTGGACAGTTGATGATATCTTCCAGCTTTTGGCTGAGAAAAGCCTTGGAGGCAGACCCCTTCTCAGCCCCCTGACCACGGGGGGACATTGGCTACCCCCGCTATCCACGGCTCGGCGAAACTGTTGAGAGAGATCATGTTATAAAATCACACCGTCCTGCCATGACATTCGTGTAGTGGGTGGTTGGTGGGTGCTCTGGTGTGATTTAATTTGCTCCTTCTTTCTTATCAATCATCTATGTTTTATCCCCCCCCCCACCCCAAATTCTTTTATTAGTGTGTTACTATCTACTATCTAGTAACCAGTGGCGAAGCTTCTATATAATGAAAAAAAATTACCACTTCTCTTCCTAATTTTGGAACACCGTCGCAGTCTAATTCACCCATAGTTGTAAGGTCTCATAAATGTATACAGACGTTCATAGGCACCAATGAACAGTGTGGACAACTTTTTAAACTGTTCAATTGTCATATAAATATACAGGGGCGAAGGCTGACTTGTTTGACAGGGTAATCAAAGTGAAACGGGACCAGATATGGCCTGTAGATATGACACAAGAATCTTACTCGAGGCGGCGACTCTGAGTTGTGAATGAAAACAAATCCGGAATTCATATTGTATGTTCAACCGCCAAAATAATCGGGAAAGTATCTTATTAAATATCAGTTCCAACTAAAATTAAATTTAACTTTAGATGTGAATACATAAACACAAAGCAAAGAAGCAGAGATGTCAGTACTAGATCTATATGTTATAGATCTACCAGTGAGTCTAACTCTTTGGTAGAACATGACAATTATCATTTTTAAAATTTTACATTTGGCTGTTTTTTGTTAGCCTTCCGCGGCCAGGAGCTGGTGTCATAATCGAGGTCACGATCTGATTATAGGACGGTAAAAAGTCGAGGAAAAAAAGCAAGTAGGCCTACTTGCAACAGTGAAGAGATTGTTAGGAGTTAGTTCCCCTCACATTTGTGAGGTAGACTCGACCAGTGTTAGTTAGCTTAAATAATCAGGGCTTGAGATTGATTTTAACTGTGACCCCAAAGGGGTGAACAGGGTATATGTGGCAATGAAACAGCTTAGACTGCTATGCACATGTTCCCTTCAACTATATTGGTGGACTCTTCCAGCCTCACTTTAAGCATACTTAATCAAAGCTTGCGACTGCTTATGGAGTGGCCCGAGAGGGGTGATGAGGCTATTTCTGTGGCCGTGAAACCGTTTTGAGTGTAAGGCATACTGTTCATTGTTGATTACGAACGTCTTTTGACATTTAATTTAAGAGGTTTACGTTTATGGATGAATTTGACAGCGACAATGTTTCAAAATTAGGAAGGGAAGCAGTGATTATTTTGATTATATAGACGCTTCGCCCCTGTAAATATAAATGTACCTTGTTCACTCCTTTTGGGGCCCTTCTTATAAGCAGTCATTATAAGCACTGATTATGTAAGCTAACAGCAAGACTGTTAGGGTCTACCTAAGAAAAGGTGAGGGGAACGAACTTCTAATAATCTCATAGCTGCTGTGAGTGCTTCCC